CTGTGAAAATATTGCTTAACCCAAAGTGTTGAAAATTTAGCTTCAAGTGTTCTTCTGAGAGTTTTAGTTTTTGATTTTATTCTTAGATATATGTGATCCATTTAAAGTTAAGTCGTTGAAAGAGTCATTTTAAAGGGAAGAGTATTGGGATCCTTTTGAGAGAGAAGTGGGTGAACTACTGATGGGTGCAGTGTTGGAATTAAGTGCATGATGAATCCCTATTAATAGTATTGTAAACCACAAATTTCAATCAATAAAATATTTTAAAATAAAAAATAAAGATGTCTTATGTACATCGTGAATTTAAGAACCAACTTAATTCTATTTGCAAATTGTGTCAGTACCTTTTGAAAAGACTATTTATTCTGGATTGAATTTTCCTGACATCTTTGTTGAAAACCAATTAAGCTTGATGTGTTGAAGCTAGTAGGTGTCACATGTGACTCACGCTTGAATGTGACTTAATGAACACAAAGTCTAGCAACAACGTTAATTTGTTTAAAACATAAGGGTTTATTTCTGAACTTTTAATTCCACCTATTGTTCAATATGTCTGTATTTTCTCTCACAGGGTGTACTTTTCTCTGCAGGATAAAACAGTTAAGAAAGAAAAGGGTGGTGGTGGGCCTCAGTGGGGAAGCATGATGGACCCCAGAGTGTCAGCCGAAGAAACTGTGTGTGAATGTAAAAGCTGGGGTGGGGCAGGGCCCAAGAAAGGAGCAGAGGGAAGTTTCCTTAGCTGGCACTCTGGGGTTCGTCATGCCAAGTGTAATTCCTGAGTGCAGAGCCTGGATTAACCCCTGTGCATCTCAGGGTGTGACCCAAAAAGAGAAAGAAAAGTATTTCATCTTTTTTTAAAAGACAGAATAGAACCCCACTGAGTATAAATATACCACAGCCTTTTAGTTTGGGGATGGCTCAAAAAAGAGTTTTAGAAGACTTAGTGATAGTACAGCAGGTAGGGACCTTTATTTGTCTAAGGCTGACCTGAGTTTGATCCCTGGCACCCCATATGGTCCCCCAAGCTCTGCCAGAAGTGAGTCTTGAGCACAGAGTCAGCAGTGAGCCCTAAGCAATGCTGGTTTGATCACCTTCTCTCCCTCAAATGCAAACCAAAAAAAAGCTTTACTGGAAACCACTTAGCTGCTTGGAAGATGGTGGATTCATGTCTTCAAAGCAAGTCATCTTGCCTGCATTTCACACAGAGGGGATTTTCTAGGGAACAACAGGGAAGAAAGGTAGAAAGCAGATCGCAAGGTGCCATAATGAACAACAAAATTCCCTTAGTTGGATCCTTGAGGCACTCTCTTTTTTACCTATAGACGTTAACTAAGTCAGATCTAGGCTATTGGGGGAGGGGGGAGGGTAAACTGAATATAAATGGTCCTGATCTATAGTCCTTGGGACAAGGACCCTTGTCTTTGTCTAACATTACCTACCTTTGACCTGTTGGAAACATTTTCAATTTTTTAAAACTCATTTGCATTAAAATCCTTTGACCTCTCTTCAATGATTCTCTCTATGCATGACTTTATAACATCATATACTTGTATAGAAAATAAAATGTTGTATGGAGATATTTTTCAAATATTGGCATATTTTATTATTGTCTGTCTGTCCACAAACACTGTCCTCCCGTTGTTCATCAATTTGCTCCAGTGGGCCCAGTAACGTATCCATTGTGAGACTTCTTGTAACTGTGTTTGGCATATTGAATACTCTTGGTAGCTTGCCGGGGTCTCTGAGAGGGCCAGAGGAATCGAACCCGGCTCAGCTGGACTGGCTGCATGCAAGGCAAATGCCCTACTGCTGTGCTATCACTCCAGCTGAAGAGATATTTTATTATCACTGTAACTGTCACTGTCCTCCCGTTGTTCATCGATTTGCTCGAGCAGGCCCAGTAACATTGTGAGACTTGTTACTGTGTTTGGCATATCGAATATGTCACGGGTAGCTTGACAGGCTTTGCTGTGCGGACAAGATACTCTCAGTACCTTGCCAGGCTCTCCAAGAGGGGCGGAGGAATCGAACTTGGCTCGGCCGGTGCCACTCCGGCTATGGCGCCGCCCGCGTAGCAACATGCTGCAAGGGGGCTCAGGCAAGGGCCTGGGTCCCTGGGAATGGGAGGTTCACGGCCCACGGGTCTATGCCTCCTGTAGCCCCCTCTTCTGTTTTTGAAAGCGCCTCTGGCATGCAGTCCTCCCTTACCATTCTGTGGGAATAGGAGCCTGCCTGTTAGTTATTCCTGATGATTAATCACATAGCTTGGATTAAGATGTTTTGATTAACCTTTAGTCTTGGACTTATGTTTGCTAGTAAAATAGAGTTAATATTAGTTTCTGTAAAGTCCTGATTTGTTTAGGTTATGGGTAGGCGTTTTTAGGGAAGTAAAAACTTAAATGTCAGTGAAAGTAGACAATAGAGGAATAGTAAGGAACATAATATTTCACCGAGATATTTTATTGGGACAAGCGGATGTTCTGTCCTAATCTTAAAGCGGAACGTGTACGTGCCCCTTGATGTTTTGGGAACATGACCCATGGTCTGATGTAATGTGTGCCTTGCCACGTTGTTTCTGTAACTGTATAAGAAGAAGAACTCTGGATGCAATAAACCGCAGCAGCACTCAGTCTCTCTTGTGTTGGTGTCTGTCTGTCCAACGCGCTGAATCTCCTGCTTTCCTGTGCACCTTCGCCTGGTCTCCCCTCAGCCTGGTGGTCTTCGAGCGAGTGGTCTGCGGCAGGCCGGGCCAGCTGCATGCAAGGCAAATGCCCTACCACTGCGCTACCACTCCAGCTGGAGCAATATTTTATTATATCATACTTAAATTTTACTCTAGCTGTCATGTAATCCAGAATAAAAGTTAATAGAACATAGAACATAATTTTCACAGATGTAGAAGATAGTTCCTATGAACTAGCTTTTTATTTTTTTCCTTTTTTATAATTTTATTTATTGAATCACTGTGAGAGCAGTTGCAAAGCTTTCAGGTGTAAATCTCGGTAATACAATGAAACACCTGTATCTTCACCAATGCCCATTTTCCACCCCAAAAAAACCCAGTTTACCCTCATCCCACACCCTTTCCCTACCTGTAGGGCAGGTGATTTTCACATTACACTCTCTCTACTTTGATCATTCAATATTTTGACACCAGACCCACCATTATTATTTGGGATTTTACCCTAACACTGAGATCTGCTGAAAAGGCAACACTAGACAATTTGTTTTCTATTGCTGGTTATGAATAATATACAATGTCATGTGGCCACAGTAGTGGCCGCACAATTTTGGAATTCTGAAATTTTAACAATTAAATCTGTAGGGATCTCTGCCAAAACCTGCTGGGCTCCGAGATTTGTTCCTGAGTCTCTTGGGTCATGGCTGTTAAGCAGTTGATCAGAAGCCAGAGAGGCCGTTCATGGGCGGCAACTCAGGGTCTTGTTGGGGTGGGGGAGGAAAGGGCCGGCTCCACTCCCCATCCTGTGATTTCCCACGTGTCTCACCACTGAGGGCCCAAATCTGACAGTCCAATGGCCTCTGGAGGATGGCAGACACTGAGCTGCCAAGGGCAAGCAGGCAGGGGGACAGCATCCTTTCCTCCCTGGGGTGGCCCGGTGACAGTAACCTACTGTAGGAACAGATGCATTTCTGCCAAAAGCCTCCGGGTTTTGAGATTTGTTTCTGAGTCTCCAGGATCATGTCCGTTAAGCAACTTGATCGGGAGCCAGAAAGGCAGTTCATGGGTGGGTCTCATTGGGGCAGAGAGGAAAGGGCCGGCTCCACCGCCATCCTGTGAGGCCCCATGTGTCTTGGCACTGGAGGCCCAAACCTGACTATCCAGTAGCCTCTGGAGGATGGCGGCCACTGAGCCGCCAGGAGGAACAGGCCAAGGCATGAAACCTATTTCCACCTGGGGTGGCCCAGCACTGGTAATCTACTGCAGGGACCGGACGTGTTTCTGACAAAAGTCACTGGGTTCCAAGATTTGTTTCTGAGTCTTTGGGATCAAGGCCATTAAGCAGCTTGATCAGGAGCCAGAGAGGCCATTCATGGGCAGCAACTCGTGGTCTTTAGGGTGGGGAGGAAAGGATCAGCTCCAATCCCATCCTGTGAGGCCCCGCTTTGTCTTGTCAGTGTGGGCCCAAATCTGACCATCCAGTGGCCTCTGGAGGATGGTAGCCACTGAGCCACCAGGGGGAAGCAGATGGAGAAACATCACCCTTTCTCCTCTGGAGTAGCCCAGTGACAGTAACCTACTGCGGGGTTCAGACGCATTTCTGCCAAAAGCCTCTAGGTTTCGAGATTTGTTTCTGAGTCTCTGGGATAATGTTCATTAAGCAGCTTTATTAGGAGCCAGAAAGGCTGTTCATAGGAGGCGACTCGGGGTCTCGTTTGGGTGGGGAGGAAAAGGTGGCTCCACCCCTATTCCATGAGGCCCCATGTGACTCGTGACTCGGGCCCAAACCTGACCATCCAGTGGCCTCTGGAGGATGGCGGCCACCAAGCCACCAAGGGGGATCAGGTGGAGGGACAACACCCTTTCCTCCCTGGGGTGGCCTGGCACTGGTAACCCATTACGAGGACCGGATGCATCTCTGCCAGAAGCTGCTGGGTTCTGAGATTTTTCTCTGAGTCACTGGGATCATGGTCATTAAGCAGTTCGATCAGAAACCAGAGAGGCCTTGCCTCTAATTATATAGCTGAGCCAGAGGTGGTTTGGCCATTTACTTTCTTGGTAAACTTTGCCCCAAGTTTTTGGGGTCTGGCCAAATTCACAGCAACAATTTTGGGGTATCTGGAAGTCTGAAGACGCCATCAGACTGTGGATGCACTCTCCTCACAGGTATAGACTGAACTGCTGGCGGCACCATACCCCCTGAACTAGCTTTTTATCTTACACTATGAGTATACAGGAGTAACTAGTAGTATGACTTCAAGTCACGTTGGCCTCACATCATTTCCCAGATGCTATGTTTTCCCCACAGTTGTGTTCTTTCATGGAATTGACCAAACTGTCAGATATGACAAAGCTCCACCAAGCTGTGGCTGCAGGAGACAGCAATTCAGTGAAGAAGATTTTGAAGAAAGGCCTCTGTGACCCAAACTATAAGGACATAGACTGGAATGACAGGACTCCACTTCACTGGGCTGCAATGAAAGGTGAATGGGCAATGCCTAAATAGAATTTGTTCAGTTCACCATTCAAAAAATAGTCAATGTTGAGAATGAATTGTACGTATATGGGTTTATGGAAGAATTAACTACATTTGTAAAAAGCATTTATTAAGAAAATAAGATTCTGGGGGCTAGAGCAATAGTACAGTGAGGAGGCATTTGTTTTGCATGCGGCCAACCCAGGCTCAGTCCCTGGAATTCCATATGGTCCCCTGAGCCTGCCAGCAATGATTACTGAGTGTAGAGACAGAAGTAACTCCTGAGCACCACCAGATGTGGATCAAACCCCCCTGCAAACCACTCCCACCAGAAATGATAATTAAATGCTTATAAAGAAGGAACAAACTGACCTTTACTCTTGAACAGAAAACCTTGCATTTGACTTTAACTTATATTCCTTTTTTTTTTTTTTTAACTTCTGGGAGTCAGGCCTGATGTCAGCGTATGACAGACAGGCATTGTTAGAACTATTATGGAAGTGCATTTTCCCTTTTCTCCTCAGCACATTTCCTATAATTTTTGACTGACTGCTTTTATTCTGATGTCAAAATTGCAAGCTGGAAGCGAAATGAATCAGAAAGAGAGGGATAGACATAGAAAGATTGCATTCATCTGGGGAACATAAAGTAACAAAATAGGAGACTAACACCCAAGAGTGGCCGGGATTAGTACCAAGAGGTTTGTCCATGGCTTGGAGGCCAACCACACATGCTAGGGGAAAATAGAGAAGGGAGCACCAAATAAAGGATGTTGGGAGGATCCTCCCAGGATGGGAGAAGTATGCTGAAAGTAGACTATAGACCAAACATGATTGCCACTCAATGCCTCTTTTGCAAACCACAACACACAAGAGGAGAGAGAGAACATATGGGAATGCCCTGCCACAGAGGCAGGGTGGGATGGATGGAGGAAATGGGGGGTGGGAGGGATACTGGGATCCATGGTGATGGGAAATGGGCACTGGCGGAGGGATGAGTATTTGATCACTGTATAATGGAAACCCAAGAGCAAAAATTTGTAAGTCTACAACTGTACCTCATGGTGTCTCACTAATAAAATTTTTTAAAAAATTATTTAAAAAAATTGCAAGCTGGTGACAGTAGGGCATCCTCTGCATTCCACGAGGACAAGAAGAGTCTTTTTCTATCTTCATTGCTCTGTGTTTGGGTGATTAGTGTTCAATTAAAGAATCAACTGCATCTTGCTTCCAGAGCTTGTATCTGAAAACAGGTACCTGTCAATGTGAGAACCATGCGCGTTTTCCTATATTCTGGTTTTGTAACTATTTTGGAATGTGTTACATTGTGCCCTTTTATGACTATATTGATCTCTTTTAATTTAATTCCCATTTGCCTTAAAATGAAAGTAATATTTGCTCAATAGGCTAGTCTTCAACAATTTGCCATTTCTCGATAGCAAAGATTATTTTTGTTTTAATTTCTTCCTATTTCTTTTTCATCCTTCAAAGGGCATTTAGAGGTGTTGCAAATGCTGATTGAATATGGAGCCAGGCCCTGCCTAGTAACTGATGTGGGCTGGACCCCAGCTCATTTTGCAGCAGAATCAGGTCATCTGAATGTGCTCAAAATCCTCCATGCATTGCATGCTGCTATTGATGCCCCTGACTTTTTTGGAGACACCCCAAAGAGGATTGCACAGATCTATGGACAGAAAAACTGCGTGTCCTTCCTGGAGAAGTAAGTTTTCTTTTACATCAGATATCTAAAGAGCATAGAGACAGGATCCTGTGATCAAGATCTTTGCTAACTAAATGGTCTCAGATGGAAAAAATAAAATATGGAAATGCAGCCAACTGATATTAAGGTTGTATTTGATGAAGTTTTAATAAAATGATCAGTTTGATGAAGAAACGCTCTTGTTTGAGATGATGTAAAATATATTTTTAGATTTCACAAACATCATAGCCATTGTAATAATGTGTAATTGTAATTTAAAATGTATGATCATAAATATTATTTTATTTTATTTGGGGAGATAGCTTCCAAGTGGTTCCTAGGTGGCCCAGGATCTCCTGAGAGTGATTCTCAGTCAACCAGACCAGTTGTTCAATTGAAGGGCCTTAGAACTAGGTTCCATTTGGGTCTTACAGTACTGGGATTCCCTCGCCACATCCTGAGATGCTCAGGGAGCCATATGGTACTGAAGATTGAACTGGTGGGATAGGGCCTACAGAAGTATATGACTTGATTTCTGTACTGTCTATCAAGCCCTACACCTATTGATTTATATCGTATGTAATTTTTCTCAGATAAGAGAGATGAAATGCCAAATTTGATAGTGATGCATAGTGTAAGATTCACAAATTCCCTTCTCATATCTGAAAGGCATGCAACTTAGCTGGGTGGTCTTTGCTTGTTAAGTTTCTTACTGACCCTCAGTATCCTCAGTTTTAAAATGCGGTATGTAAATTACAATAGTATCCATAGGACCTTTTTAATCTTCTAAATCTTTTGCTCATCTATGAATCTTCCTCTTACATATGCATATCAAAGATAAAAACTTCTCTAGCATTTGTTAATTTTTTTCCCTCTCAGCCAAGCTGAGATTCAGATATAATTAAATATCAATTAAGTACAAGACATTATCATTCTGAGAGAGATGGAAAAAATTTAGGAATTTATAATCTTGCTGGGCTGAATAATTAATTTATACAAAATAAATAATTTATACAAAAGATAGCAAAACAAGAGAGTAAGAGTCACTTTGCTTAGGACCAAACTGAAATCAATAGCAATTCCATCTGTTGGGCAGTACATGGTGGGGAGGAAGAATAGGGTTGAAGTGCCTTTTATATAAACAAAGTTATCATCAGAAAATTAAACTAGAAGAGGTCAGGGCAATAATACAGTAGGTAGGGCACTGCCATGCATGCAGCTGACCTGGGTTTGATCCCTGGCGCCCATATGGTTCCCTGTAGCTGTCAGAAGTGATCCCCGAGTGCAGAGCTAGGTGTGGCTCAAAAACAAAAAAGAAGAAAGAAAGAAAGAAAGAAAGAAAAAAAGAAAGAAAGAAAAGAAGAAAGGAAAGAAGAAAGGAAAGGAAGGAGGGAGGGCAGAAAGGAGGGAGGGAAGGAGGGAAGGAAGGAAGGAAGGAAGGAAGGAAGGAAGGAAGGAAGGAAGGGAGGGAGGGAGGGAGGGAGGGAGTGCGGAGGGAAGGAGGGAGGGAGGGAAGGAGGGAAGAAGAAAAAATAATTAGTAAATTTTTTTGCCTATTCCAAGATCAGTTATCTGTAGAAGTAATCCAGGAGGAATTTTCTTAAAACTGATGTCCTGGGGACCAGAGTGTTAGTACAGCAGGGAGGGCATTTGCCTTGCATGTGGCCACCTCAAGTTCTATCCCTGGAATCCCATATAGTTTCCCGAGCAGCGCCAGGAGTAGTTTCTGAGTGCAGAGCCAGGAGTAATCCCTGAGCACTGCCGGGTGTGACCCCCCCCCCCAAAGCAAAAGACAAACAAACAAAAACCGATAGCCTACTTGGAAAACTATTCAGAATATGATGGAAATAACTTGTGGTGTAAAGAGACTAACTTGAATTCTGACAAAAATAGTCCTTTCTTCTCAATCCTGCCATTATTCCCTATATCCAATGATCTCCACCCAGTAAAGAGCTGAGTATCAGCAAAGTTCTCTCATTTTAAAGTCTGTTGCATAACTCCAAGAGCCCATATTCCTTTCATCATTTTTCCCCATGGCCAAGCAGAGCTGGGTGTCACTGTCTCATCTTATCTTGCCTCCTCCTGATATATCACATACTTGAAGACTTTGCTGTTTTCCCTCTGTCCAACACAGGGATGCCCACATACCTGCTTTTCCCATTTCTGCCTCATTGTGCTTAACTTTGCAGCTCTGTCATCTATTGTTTATAACCCAGAATCACCTTATACCAGTCTTTGTCTTCACTGTTCTTATACTTTATTTGATATAATTTGTTATAATATGCTGAAGACCTCCGGGACTCAGCCAAAGTCATGCTGAGACCACTCTCCACACACTTGGATGAGGAGCCGGCAGAGGAATCCAGGTGTGCGGGACCCGGGGCTGAGATCTCCAAGCCTGCTTGGTTCGGGACTGGGCCTCTTCTACCCAGCTCCACCACCTTCCAGTAGCTAGACAGTTACACCGACCAACTGCTGTGTAACCCCATTAACGGCCATCCAGAGACTATAAAACCAAGCTCCTGGAAGACCTCTTATTCTCTAGTTCTCACTCTCAGAGAACCCGGCAGGCTACTGAGAGTATCATATCCGCGCTATATGCCTGACTAGGAACATCTATAAAGGTGATTAGAGGTTGCCCCAAAAGCCTCCATCTGTCTAGGAGAGCCCAGCAAGTAACTGAGACTATCCAGCCCACACGGCAGAGCCTGACAAGCTACCCGTGGCGTACGCGCTATGTCAAAAACAGTAACAATGAATGGTCCTCATTCCCCTGACCCTGAAAAAGCCCCCAATATGTCATCGGGCTACACTTGCATGTGACAGGGATGAATGGAGACATTACTGGGCCCGCTCGAGCAAATTGAAGAACAATAGGGTGATAGTGATAGTTATAATATGTAGATGGATAACACCAGAATCTTTTTTTTCAGCCTTTGACACCAGAAGTTTTAGGATTTCTCTCTTCAGCTGTCCTCAGAAAAACTTAGCTATATTTTCCTTTACTGCCATTCCATGACAATTTCCATGACAATCTCCACATGACTACAGCCTGGCCCTCAGACTGCAGGCTTTCTCTTCATGGAAGATTATGATGACATGGGATATACTTTCTTTGGTTTGCTCTTGGGTCGTGCACTGTTACTTCAAACTGAGGAACTACTCTCAATTTGAAGTTCAGGGATTGCTTCTAGTGGTATTCAAGAGAAATATGGGATGCCATGATCAAACCAGAGACTTTCACAAATTGTATGATCTAACCCTTTGAATGAACTCCCAGGTTCACATTTTAAGACTTCCTTTTACCTACTCTATATAATGCAACTTCTTGCCTCCCAGTCTATCCTGTGGAATATATCATCTTTCTATATCAAAACTTGCTTTTATACTTTTTTCTCTTATAAGACTGTCATTCTCATACTTTTTCAATCTTTTACTCTCTTCTGTATCTTTATTTTATCTATTCCTTCCATTCACTTCTCTTAGATCTATGATAGGTTCAAATAAATCACACGAAGGAAAAAAATACCTGCTGTGTATGTTTTCTTCCACACACTTCTAAACTACCTGAAAGTTCATCTGTGCAATTATCTTTACTTCTTGATTGCTCTTCAGAAAGCTTTCATACATCAGTATACTAAATCAGCTCTCACCCAAGTCAATAGTAATATATGTTTTGTGAAATCAATGACTTCTATTCATTTCTTACATCCACTTAAGTTGGTTAGTTACATAACAACTTCCTTTTGCTTTATCAGATGTTACTTTCTTCTAGTTCTTCTCTTACCCACCTGACAGTTTTTCTCATGATTTTATCTTGTTTTTGCATGCTTTTTGGGTGTTGAAATCATCAGAGTCCTATCTTTGGCTTTTCCCTACTCTCTGAGTAATCTCATTCCCTCTCTGGTGACAAGTGGGTGGATGAGCATAATATATTAATGTATTATAAGTCATGTGGAAGAAGGGTGGGTGGCCATGCTGAGAGGACAAAATCCACCAAGGTCAACTAAATAATTTACAAATCTTTTCTACTTATCATCATCTCCCATAAGAAACTTCCCTTCTGACAGTCATAGGATTTAGAGGAAAGGAATCTTTGGTAAGGGGCAATTGATCTAGATCTTGAAAGATAGTTAAGAATCGGCCCAGAGGGCTGAACATTTTATTTGTAAGGAAGACACCAGTTGCAAACATGCAAAGATTATATGTGTATATGAAGAAGAAAGATGACAGTAGAAGATGAGTGACCTGGGTAAGGAGAACATTCACCCAAGAGAGAAGACAATAAAATTGTGTGGCTTGTGGAAGATGGAAGGTGCGGTCGGTTGTGATGACCAGAGTAGCTAGGCAAGCAGATGAGTAAAACAGAGATCAGCACCATGAAGTCAGTGCTCTTGCAATGTTCCTAATGTAATTGAAAGAGTTTATCATGAGGCTGTGCAGGGAGGAATAGAGACACTTGGAATAGAAACAAGGAATTCACATAAGAAGCAACTGGACTGCAGGGGTGTGGTGAAAGAGAAAAGATATATGAGATTTTGAAGGAGATACAGACAGTATTTAAACATTTTCCAAACATCTTAAGGATTCATTGGAATATTTCAATGTTCAGCCTCTCTAAATAGATAGTAATTCCTTCATTCGATAAATATTTTTAAGCTCTACCTTGTGTGTGATATTGAATTAAGTACTAAAAAGGTATTTAAAAATAAAACAGATTCATAAAGGGGCTGGAGCGATAGCACAGCGGTAGGGCGTTTGCCTTGCACGCAGCCAACATGGCCGACCAGAGTTCGATTCCTCCGCCCCTCTCGGAGAGCCCCGCAAGCTACCGAGAGTATCTCGCCCGCACGGCAGAGCCTGGGAAGCTGCCTGTGGCGTATTTAGTATGCCAGACACAGTAACAACAAAGTCTCCAATGGAGACGTTACTGGGCCTGCTCGAGCAAAAAAAATTAATAAAAAAAGATATTTGAAAAGAGTAAAAATAAATAAGTAAATAAAAATAAAACAGATACAATGAAATACAGTAATGAACTGAAGAAATTTCATTTGGGAAAGGTTATAACTTGTTTATATAAATAGCCTAAAATTATACAAGACCTCAAAAGAGCAGGTCAGAGAAGGGATGCAAAACATGGTCTAGATGCTGAAAGTTCACTAAAAGTTCTTTGGGACACTGGGAGGCAAAGGGACAAGCAAGTTTTCTTTATGCTTTATTATTATTATTATTATTATTATTATTATTTTGGTACTGGAATTAAGCTTAGGGCCTCATATATGCAAAGGACATGTTGAAATACACTTCCATCCGGAACTCTGTTTCAAAAAACTTTTTTAAATTTTATTTTTAATGTTGCTTCACGCTTAAAATACTGTTTTCCTTTCCTGTGCCATTTAACTTCCATTTGTCTCATATTGGCTTACATTTTAGGGCCTGCGAAATGGCTTAAATAGCTAGCACTGTACAGGGAATAGCCCTGAGCACTGCATGTGAGAGCATGTTCCCTCCACCCCAATTTATCTCTGAGTGGTTTTCCCTGATGTCTTCAAGCAGATTCCGCAAGTCCATTTTGACTTTAGGTACTGAACTGCACATATGTTTGCTTCTTAATGTCCATATGTATATAATGATTAATTTATTCATCCTCCCATATATCTACTATAATTATTCTTTATATAAACATGTACCTATGATATGCATATAATTATAGGAAATTTTAATTTTGTTCCACATATACTTCTGGGTTTTTTAATTTTATATACAGAACATATAGGACATTTATAATTAGGAAAAATTACAATGAACTGTAAATGAAAGAAAACACCTTCTCAATAACACATGGTAGAGAGAATTTGAGAATTTGGAAGAGGGGTGTTAGAGGGTGGGGAGGCAGAAGCGACAGACTGGATGTAACAAAAACAGTGGCAGGGGGGTGTGTTACACACATTGATGGTCCTGGAGGTGCAGGAACTTTATACAACAAAACCATAAAGGTTAACACAATAGTAGCCATGTTACCGCAATAATTAAAAAAATAAAGTGGTAAGTGTAAAAGGATTAGCAGACCTTCTTCAAGTAAAGAGCCTGCCTTTAATTCTGTCATGGTGCACCTCAGGCATACCACTTTCCTCCAGTGCAGAGTAATTTCTGTCAAGTTTGGGACCCTCTAGGCCAACACCGAGAAATGCCCGACCCCACTTACATCTCTAGATCACCAAAGCAGCTATGCTGTGTGCATGGGCTTAACAAAAAAGAGACTGATTTTGACACCAGGGCTGCTTCCCAGTCTGGGTGTTGAGAACTCCTCTGTATGCCTTCCTCCCTCTGTGCCCCCCTCCCCTCTCCCAGGGCAGAGCAGGAGTGCCTGGTCTACCGCCTCACTGCCAGCCAGAAGGGGCTGCTGCTGGATGAGCGGGACGAAGACTGGGATGCCAAGAAAAGAGAGCTGGAGCTGTCTCTTCCTTCCGCAAGTGAAAACAAGAAGAAGAAGAGTAAGAAAAGTCAACGTCCCCTCAGGGTCAACAAAACCAAGGCGAAGGAGGCATGAGAAGAAACCTAAGATCTCGGAACCTGTTTTCTAGAAGGGCACGTGCCCTGGCACTGACTAGAGGCCTTCTGGAAGCATCATCTGGGTATGATTTTACTCATATATCTTTAAATCAGCTGGCTTAACTTTAAATCACCTTGGTCCTCTTGGCAGGCATTTACTCTGGGCACTCTGCAGGTTGCTGTTGCTTCTTTGCTAATACCTGACTCTCCACAAATAGACCAGCAGGTGACTGATGTCAACTGCCAGCATTTTGTCATCATGATGTGCCCAATCAGTATCTACCTAACCCACTGTCTTCCCTCTCCATGCAATTAGAAACCATGCAAGAAATGTAAACAAAGGCTACTCCCAGTTTTCCAGTGCAGTAGAGACTCCAATATTTGGAGGAACAATTTGATAATAGTCACGGTCACAGTCACGGTCCTCCCGTTGTTCATCGATTTGCTCGAGCGGGCCCAGTAACGTCTCCATCGTGAGACTTGTTGTTACTGTGTTTGGCATAACGGATACATCACGGGTAGCTTGCCAGGCTCTGCCGTGCAGGCAAGATACTCTTGGTAGTTTACCGGGCTCTTCAAGAGGGGCGGAGGAATCGAACTCGGGTCGGTCATATTGGCTGCGTGCAAGGCAAATGCCCTATTGCTGTCGTTGACATCAACTACTTTGATCCCTCATACCCTGTGGGAGATTATACAAAATAATGCAACCTGTACTTTTTTCCCCAATATATTATATGTGTCAGGAGTTCTAAATTCAAATCAGGTATTTGCAGTGAAACTATTGTTTCTAAACTGAGATGTGCTATAAATGTACTGAAATCAAATTTTGGAGTCTAGGTATTAAAAATGTGACTAGACTATCAATGATATTTAATATTCATTACATGTTGGAATGATAGTGCTTTGAATATTGAATTATATAATATATAATATTAAAACATGCATTTTGTCTCTTTCCTTTCACACTTTAAAAATCCAGTGAAGAAGTCATATAATGACAATGGTTTAACAATTTTGGCACTTTGTTAGTGGTGGAAATATAACTTTATACATCAAAAGTTTTAACATTGTGGAGTATGGTGTCACCTGAGCAGGTCAATCTGTACCTGTGAGGTGAGTGCATCAGCAGCCTGATAGCGCCTTCAGACTTCCAGATACCCCAAAATTGATGCTGTGCCTTTGGCCAGACCCCAAAAACTTGGGGCAAAGTTTACCAAGAAAGTAAACAGCCAAAAGTTAGGTATGTGGGAGACACACCCACAAATCACCTCCGGCTCAGCTATATAATTGGAGGCATGACCTCTGTGGCTCCTGATCAAGCCATTTAATGGCCATGATCCCAGAGTCTCAGAAACAAATCTCGAAACTCAACAGCTTTTGGCAGAAATGTGTCCGGTTCCTGCAGTAGGTTACCGGTGCTGGGCCAACCCAGATGGGAATAGGTTTCTTGCCTTGACCTGTTCCCCATGGTGGCCCGGTGGCCGCCATCCTCCGGAGGCCACTGGATGGTCAGGTTTGGGCCCACAGTGATGCAACACATGGGGCCTCACATGTATGGGGGTGGAGCCTGCCCTTTCCTCCCCGTCCCAATGAGACCCCGAGTCGCCACCCACAAATGGTCACTTTGGCTCCTGATCAAGCTGCTTAACGGCCATGATCCCAGAGACTCAGAGACAAATCTTGGAACCCATTGGATTTTGGCAGAAATGTGTCCAGACCCTGTAGTAGGTTATTGTCGCCAGGCCACCCCAGGGGGGAAGGGTGTTGTCCCTCTGCCTGCTCCCCCTAGGTGGCTTGGTGGCCGCTACCCTCCAGAGGACACTGGGCTGTCAGGTTTGGGCCCTCAGTGATGAGACACATGGGGCCTCATGGAATGGGAATGGAGCTGGCCCTTTCCTCCCCATCCCAACAAGACCCCGAGTTGCCACCCATGAATGGCGTCTCTGGCTCCTGTTCAACCTGCTTAACGGCTATGATCCCCGAGACTCAGAAACAAATTTTGGAACCCAGCAGGTTTTGGCAGAAATCCATCCAGATTTGTTAAAACTTCGGAATTCCAAAATTGTGTGGCCACTACTGGAGCCATGTGACAGCATATGTTATTCATAACCAGCAATAGAAAACAAATTGTCTAGTGTTGCCTTTTCAGCAGATCTGAGTGTTGGAGTAAAATCCCAAATAATAATAGTGGGTCTGGTGTCAAAATATTGAATCAGTAGAGAGAGAGTAATGTGGAAATCATCTGCCCCAAAGGTATGGGGAGAGTGTGGGATGGGGGTATACTGGGGTTTTTGGGGGTGGAGAATGGTCACTGGTGAAGGTACGGGTATTGTATGACCGAGACTTAAACCTGAAAGCTTTGTAACTGCTCTCACGGTGATTCAATAAATAAAATTATAAAAAATAAAAAAAGTTTTAACATTAATATTATTATACCTTGCTAGCTTAATAAAAAGTGAAAATAAATTTGAAGTTACCCACGTGCCTTGATTTTTTTCCCCCTATAATAAAGCACTAGAGTAGGAACCAGAAAATATTTAGGGCCTCCAGCAGGAATATCTAGTTTCATGGGCACTCAAAAGGCCAATTAACTGAAGGAGAAGGTGACAAGCAGAAAAAGAGCTTTATTCAACAGCATGCCAGCAGGTCAGAAGATGATGGACACAAGTCCTGGACAACCATCTTATCTGCATTGTTCTAAGATGCAATTTTTTTATGAAAAAATTAATAATCTATTCTGTTAATAGGGAAGATTTTGCAGGTTGGTGAGTACTGAGGTGGTCAGTAACTTTTCTTGCAGGAAAAGTTCCTTTGAAGTCAATCTTCTGTATCTTCAAATCTAACCAATGGTTTCTGATTAAGGTGTTAGTCTGTTATCCTATGCTTTGGGGGTAAAAACAAGATAAAGGAACCATTTTCTGTATTCCTGCCCACAAAAGTTTGCTGGAATTTGTTTGTTTGTTTCTTTTTTTTAATATGTAGTCAGAATATTGTATACTTTTATTTTTGTTTATTTTGTTTTGTTTTGGGGCCAAACTCAGAGGTGCTCAGAGCTTACTCCTGGTTCTGCACTCAGAGGTCACTCGTAGTAGAGCTTGGAGACCATAGGGCTGCCAGGGATTGAACCTAGGTTGGTCATGTTCAAGGTAGGCATCTTACCAACTTTACTATCTCTCCAGTCTCATAGTTTTACATTTCCTATGTTAATTGTATGTACTTTTATTTACAATACTGTTAATTATTGTAATGGTTGACTCCATTATTGTAACGGAGTTGACTCCATTATTGTGATGGTCCCGTGACTCCAGGGACCAACACTATGTTTCCAATTCTTGGTCCCTGTCCTGTCTTGTGACTCCACTCCTTAGGGCCTCTCTGCTTGGCCGGATGCCATTGCCCATGCCCCCTATTCTGATAGGCTGTTCCCATGGGTCGGTTTATCTGCCCAGGGTGATATTGTTTTCTGAGAAGTCGGGACTTTCTGATGGGAGAATCTGAGATTTAGGCCTTCTAAGTTTTGGTCTTAAAGTGGAACCTGTCATGGCTCCACTTCAGCTTCATATTCCCCCCCCCTCATTTTTTCTTTTGGCTACAGTGAAGGGCTGGAGCGATAGCACAGTGGGTGGTAGGGAATTTGCCTTGCACGTGGTTGACCCGGGTTCGATTCCTCCATTCCTCTTGGAGAGCCATGCAAGCAACCGAGAGTATCCCACCTGCATGGCAAAGCCTGGCAAGCTCCGCGTGGCATATTCAATATGCCAAAAATAGTAACAACAAGTCTCACAATGGAGGCATTACTGGTGCCCACCCGAACAAATTGATGAACAATGGGAGGACAGTGCCACAGTGCTACTGTTAATTATAAGGTTTCAGGCATACAACACTTCAACCCCATACTCTCAACCAGAGAGTCTACTTTGTTCCACTACATTTTACTTCTAATTTTGATATCAGCTCTTAATTTCTTTTGGTCCAGTTACAACCCAGTTCAATTTATTTGATTATTCCACTTTATAGGTTTACTGTCTCTGTCTAAATAAGTCTAGACACCTAACATTTCTAGCATACACTATTCAATTAATACATATATTAATATGGCCTTATTTGGTTCCAAGTTTTTGACATAAATAAATGCTTCAATACCTTATCATAAGTAGTATAGCTCTCAAAGATGGTTTGTATTGTTTCCCTATCCCAGGCATCAATTTTCTCTAGATCCTACAATTCATATAGCTGGCTCTTTATTGCCTTGTCTGTACTGATATTCAAAGACTAGACTGCATGATGCCTTGGCCAATATAATTTTTCTTCTTCCATGAATTTGAAAAGATCTTTATAAGAGGATATAGCAGAAACATACTAACTTGGAAGTATGGAGTGACAGACTCCACAATAAGGCTAAGGAAATGTGCAAAGGTGTAAATGAGAGAGGCAAAATGTAGATAAATATAGATAAAGATAGAGTGAGACACTTCTGTTTTCCAGTACTACTTCCTTGTTCAACAATGTGAAACACTGCTTGCATAATAATATTTCCTCTTTTGTTTACAAAATATTGAATTAGCTTTTTCCTATGCAGCCGGTATTTTCTGTTAGTAAAGCATTTTATGATCATGAGTTTGTGAGTCAAGCAGATCTAAGTTTCAATTGTCCACTATGAAATAAACCAAAATCATCTTACTGCCAAGGGTTGCTTTGAGGACAAGATAAGGCAGTATATGTAAAGAGCTGTCACCTTCCCTCCTTAACAGGTAACTGATCCTTAGAATGACTATTGTGTTACTAGAGAAATTAGCTCTGATTTTCCCTGAAAATTCAAAAGAAGTCTAGCAATAAGGACATTTATGTCTGCAGGATCATGCAGGTGGAGGGTTCATCAGTAGACAAATTTTCTCCATCTAACAATACAACCTGGCTCTCAGTAGCCAAATATATTGGAACCAAAGATTTGCAAGTGGGGTGTTCTTAGGTTCTACTACCTGAGGGCCCCCAAGTTTC